ACAACAAGAGGCTCTAGATAGTCTTGACAGAAGGCCAGTAACCCAGGTGTTACGCGAATGTTCTGAGAGTCGCGAAGCGTCCCGAACAGAACCTTCCCGAATTCTGTAGAAGGCAATTCGGTGGCAATCGAAAGGCCTGGAATCCGGAACACGCAACTTGGTTCGGTGCTATAACTATAATAGAATATAGGAATTCACGTAACCTAGGAAATCAAGCATAAGCATGCATGACAAAACAAACATAAGCTAGAAATAGCATAATAAAGGCAAGGCAAGCTAGCAAAGCGAGCATAAGCCGTCGTACTCTCACACGTCCCCCCCTCAAAGCTTGGTGACGTGAGATACACCCTACTTGACAAGATAGTCCTCGAGAGCACGGCGTGCTTTACCCATATCAGCTTCTATAACCCAAATGTCCTCCAACGTGTCATATCCCTTCCAGCTTATCAGGAATTCGAGGGTCTTGCTGCCGCGGTGCAGATGAGTGAGAATGCATTCCACCTCGTACTCTGGTTCATCCTGTACGAGAACTAGTGGTGGTGGCGGTAGCTGACGTCCCGGGAACTGTTGGTTAGGGTCCTTGTAGGGCTTCAGTAGCTGAACATGGAAAGTATTGTGAAGCTTCCAAGTATTAGGTAAGCGCAAGCGAAATGTTTCTGGTGTCACCTTCTCCTCAATACGAAAGGGACCACAGAAGCGAGGCCGGAGCTTGGACGGAAGATGGTGTGAGAATCTAGTGAGGAGACTGTCGAGTTAGGTCAAGGGAGTGGTACAAGATGGGTATCGAGAGATGTGTTGTACCCTAAGGGGTAACTCACTATAGGCTAAACAAGCATGTGAAACATAACTTTGACACACCCCCATAGGCTAAGTGAGATAAATCAAAATGACTGCAACAAGCATGTGGTCGCAAGACTAGTCAAGAGAAGCAAACAAAGCAAAGCCCAGGGTGGATCTCAAGATCACCACGAAGTCTGAGCACAAGCAAGCAGCCACAAGGCCGCTTCATATGCAGAGTTATAATAGCAAGGCAATACACTGATCACACCCTAGCAAGTGTAAACATTCAGGTATATGTATATATAATAGTGTACAACAAGTGCAAGGCAAGATCAAGAGACAAGTAGGTAAGAAAGAGTGGGCAGGAGCCGAAGAGCAGTGCAGAAACGCTGATGATCATCAGAACCAAGGGCCTTGGTGAAGACATCAGCAGTGTTGGCCCAAGAGGTCACGTAGGAAAGGCGAAGCTGGCCACACTGCTGCAGCTCTCGAGCAAGAAAGTAGCGAAAAGCAATGTTCTTCGTTCTGTGCTCCAGTCTCTGCTCGTGACACAAGGCAAGCATGGCCTTGTTGTCAACGTACAGAACTGAAGGAGAACGAGGCCGCTCCCCCAAGTCAGTCATCAGATAGGTCAGCCAGCGTAGCTCCTTTGCAGCCATAGCCCCATCGTAGATCTCGGCCTCACAGCTGGAACCAAGAACAGAAGAACGAGTGGACCTCCATGAGACAGAACCAAAGCCAAGACTGAAGGTGTAACCATGTGACGACCGCTGAGTCGCGTGGTCTTCGGCCCAGAAAGCGTCTGAGTGACCTGTGAGTACCACTGAGTCTCCTCCTCCAAGCACAAGCCCCATGCCCGATGTACTGCACAAGTAACGCAGTACCCTCTTAGCAACTTCCCAATGCACCTTTCGGTGTCTACCGGGAGCCACGTAGTGAGCCAAGAGGCTGAGAGGGTACGCAAGGTCAGGTCGTGTGCACGTCATCAAATACATGAGGCAACCCACCAACTATATATACAGAGAGCGAGTGGCCTGTAGGCACAGGAGTGCGCTGTGGCAAGGAGAAGCTAAAGCCGAAGTGCTGAAGGACCTACTGCACCATGTGTGACCGAGTCAACGTGATGGTGCGCCTTCCTTTGTCCTGATTGATCTGCAAGCCAAGATAGCTGCGCAGGTCACCCAGGTCAGTGCAAGTGTGTCTCTTCTGCAGCCCCGACTTCACAAGGGCCAGCGCCTCAGTGTCGGCAGTAGCAAAGACCAAGTCGTTGACGTAAACGAGGATGTAGAACGGCGGCAGAGAAGGGTCTATGCGCAGAAACAGCGACGGGTCAGCAGTCAAAGGAGCTAACCCAAGAGCCGCAAGCGTCGTCCTCAGTGAGTCGTGCCACTCGCGGGGCGCCTGGCGGAGACCGTAGACTGGCCACCAGAGCCTCCAGTGGGTACCCTCAGGAAACGACCCAGTGAAGCCAAATGGGCGGCGCAGCCAGATGGCCTTGTGAAGGCTACCCTGCAAGAAGGCTGTCGAGAAGTCGAGGGAGTGCAGCTCGTAGTCACGCTGTGCTGCAACGTGTAGTAACTCCGAAGAGTGGTCATCTTTGGGGTAGGGTAGAAGGTCTGAAAGAAGTCGACCCCCTGACGCTAACTGAAGCCTCGAGCAACGTAGCGCGCCTTGAAGACCGGCAGAGAAACCGGTGGCCGCTTCACCCTGAAGATCCACATGCCATCGATAATGTTTGCCCCAGGAGGGGGAACCTCGTCAACGTAGGTGCCTGTGGACTTCCAGGAAGCCATCTCTGCGTCTATGGCCGTCTGCCACTGAGACGAGTACTCACCCGATATCGCCTCTACGTAAGTGCGCGGGGTGGGCATGTCCAGTGCATCCGGGTCTCCCTCAGGGCAAAGTAGCATGGCAGCGAGATGAGGTGCAGCAGCTCCTAGGTACTCAAACTCAAACTGCATGTCCTCAAGAACGTCACAACCAAGGGCAGTCTCACCCCCGACGGACGGAGGATAGTTAGAGGCAATGACAAGATGTGCAGCGTAGTCAAGACGTCACATAGCTGGAAATTCAACAAGCTCAGCTGCTAAGGAAGTCGTAGCAGGGGACGAAAATGTAGGGTCAGTCACAAACGTGGCAAGAAAACAAGGGATGGTCGGACTGGCAGCACGAACAAGGTCAGATCTACGCCGACGTGGTGGCGGCGCCTCCCCATGGCCAGCCTGACACCGACGCACTTCCCGTGGCGCAGAAGGGCACCGGCACCGGGCTCGAGGTCTCCGCTCCTGCCGATACCCCTCCGCCTGGGGTAGCAGAGCCGCCACGCGGACCCCACCCCACCGAGGAAGAGGAGCACACCACGGCACACTCTTTTGGCTCACCTCCACATCCTCCCTCCCTGACTACAAGGCTGGTACGGCCGGGGGACCCGACCCCATCTAGTGTGGCACCATCTCCACCTCCGCCGACACCCCTCTTGCACGAGGTCGGTGGGTCTTCCCCTAACCTTCTCCCAGGCGATCCTCTTGGAGCTCAGGCCGACCATGGGGTCCCTTCTACAGCCAGTTCCGATGCCACGGCCCCGATCGACCCCACCGACACGGCGACGTCACTCGACCAGGTCGTGAGATGCCCCACCTGCAGGAGCTCTCTCGCGAACCGACGCGCGCTCCAGCACCACACTCCCTTCTGCCATCCTGCAGACGCAGCTCATAGGGCACAGGCGGTCCATGACACCACCTCGATCCTCCCTTCCCTCTCACAGCCGCGTGCAACCGGGATACAGTTTACTGACGCACAGTGGCTGTCGCTCGACTCGGTGGACTGGACGGAGTACTTCTTGCCTGAACGTATTCATGCATGCCCTCTCCGGCGTGTCCCGAAGAGGGTTCGCGGAGGATATCTCAAACGTCCTCAGTGCGATCCTAGCCCGCATTGCCCAGGACCCGAAAGCTGCTGGCCCTACCTTCCTTCTCGCTGCAGCGCCGACCCTTTTCCTCGCTCCAGCGACGCCACCCGACCGCTCGCACACGGCGGCCATTGCAACGCGCATCTCCCGCTTTGGTCGAGGTGAGTGGGATGAGCTACTCTCGGATGCACTAGGCCGCCGCACACCCCTCCCTCGACGCACAGGTCTTTGCTCACGCACTGCCACTGATCCCTCCACAGCAGATGAGCGCCGCATTGCACGTTGCCTTCGTCTGGCAGCGTGCAATGAGACCTCACGGACCTGCGCGGCTCTCGAGTCCGCGGAGGCAGCCCCAGATACACAGGGGACGATACAGCGCCTACGGTCGAAGCACCCCATCGCGGAGAGGCTGACCCCAGCTTGGCTGTTGGGCTTCCAGGGGTCTCCTCTTGTGCTCTCAGTGGACCACTTACGTCGCGCGATCTTCACAGCTCCGCGGGGCTCCTCGGGAGGTCCGTCCGGTTGGATCGCTGAGCACCTTCGAGACACTTTCCTGGCTTTCCCTCAGAGCCTCCATTTCCTTCTGGCTGTGTACTAGCAGTGGCTCTGAGGTCGTTGCGCTCCAGCTGCGCGCTCCTTGCTAGCGTCCTCCACCCTCGTGGCTCTGGCGAAGTCGAACATGGATGTTCGGCCGATTGCCATCGGCGAGGTGTTGGTACGTATTCTTTCGCGAGCAGTCTGTCTCCAGCTACGTGACCAGATGGCGAGAGTCTTTTTGGCGTCACAGCAGTTTGGGGTGGGGGTGACGTGCGGGACAGAGGTCGTAGTTAGAGGCGTCCGCCGCGCTCTGACTGACCACCCGGACCGGGTGGTCCTGCAGCTAGACGTGGCGAATGCCTTTAACTCTTTCCACCAAGACAGGATGTTCCAGGCTCTGCAGGCCAGCCCTGTGTTTCAGTGTCTGATCCCCTTCATCGGCCTCTTCTACGGGACGCCCTCGGACCTCCACTACAGGTCAGGTACGGGAGTGGTCACGATGCACTCGGAGCGTGGCACTCGTCAGGGAGACTCCCTCAGCCCCTTCTTGTACGCTCTGACACAGCGCCTTGCCTTGGAGCTGGTTCTGACGGAGGGGGATGTCCAGCTCTGGTCGTACGCCGATGACACGTACGTGCTAGGCCCCCCAGATAGGGTGCTACACCACTTCGTCGAGATTGTGAGGCGCTTGGGCGAGATGGGCCTTGCTGTCCAATCGCACAAGTGCCTCGTCTACCAGACAGAGTCCTTTCAATTTAGGGATTTGGAGGCTTTCATGAGCCTAGGGATCGAGAGCGCACGCCGGGGGCTCACCGTGACAGGTGTTCTGGTGGGCACCATTTCGTTTGTGGAGCACAGCCTCCCAGATCGTCTCGAGAGGATGGGGCGGGTGCTTCCTTGGCTTCCGAGGTTGCGCCAGCCCCAGACAGCTGCCCGCCTTCTTTCGGCATGTGTGAGCACTCGTCCGCAGTACCTGTCGAGGACCGTCCCTCCCTTTCCCGGAGTGATCTCCAGTTTTACATGGTGGGACGCACGCCTGGGAGAGATTTTTCAGCAGCTTTTAGCGCCAGGGACCTGGGCCTGTCGCGAGGACGTCTGAGAGGCCGCCGTAGACCAGATCTTCCTCCCGATCCGTCTCGGGGGCTTTGGCATTCGTTGCATGGCGCGCATTGCTCCGGTGAGTTACGTGTGCTCTTGGGTGCAGTGTGCACCCATTCTTTGTTCTCTTCACGCGTGTGGCGAGGTGTTTTGACAGAGCTTTGCTTCAGGTGAGCCAGAGCAGATCGACCGAGCTCTGCAGACGGCGCTTGCGGGTCTCCCACCGGACGTTCTCTCCCTCCTTCCCTCCTTGCCCTCTTGCGCTTCCGCCTCCCCCGACTCCCTTTTTGCAGGAGCGAGCCGCCTTCTGGAGGCACATGCTTTGGAGGCCGTGCGTACTTGTCACACCTCTCCCTTACACCTTGCCCATTTGACTTCCCTTCAGGGCGTAGGTGCAGGAGTGTGGCTGCATTCGGTGCCGTATGCCGATCCACTGCACATCTCGGAGGCGTAGTGGTAGGTGGCTTCATCATCCCGTCTTAGTCAGTGCTCTTGTGGACAAGCGATCGATGACATGACGGTGCCTCATCACGCGGTTCGGTGCCCACGATTCGGCGTCGCCATGACCATCCACGACACGGTGAAGTTTATGCTTCGAGACTTCGCGGTCGAAGCGGGCTTCGCGGTGAAGGTGGAGGACTCTACGCTGTTCACACAGTTGGAGGCGGCTCGAGCGAGACTGCAGGGACAGCTGGTGGTGGGAGAGGGGACACGGGCTGGGGGACCGCTGGAGCAGAGGGGCGAGGCGGGACAGCTGGGCAGCGGGGGACAGTGGGGACAGCATCAGCTGCGGGGTCAGGTGGCGAGAGGAGCAGGTGGGCAGAGGGGACGGCAGGGGGAGCAGACGGGCCAGGACTGGGAGGGGGGACAGCAGAGGCAGCAGCAGGAGAGCCAGCGGAGGCCGCGGGCCCAGGGCGCCATGCCTCCTGGTCTGGGCTCGGTGGTGGAGCAGGGGCGGGAGCAGCAGAGAGCGGACGGAGGTACAGGGGGGGCAGCAGGATCGGGAGGAGAGGACCAGGGAGTGAGAAAGGCAGCAGGGGATCAAGCAGGGGGGTTGGGAGGGTTGGAGGAGAGTAGAGAGGGGGAGGGGAGAGGACAGGTGGGGGGAGGAGAGGACAAAGGGAGAGAGACGACCGGAGAGGAGGCACCGAGGGACCAGACAGGGCAGCAGCCAGCCCAGCAGCAGAGACCAGTCCAACGCACAGGCCGTGTAGGCACCTCCTCCTCCCGCATTCCAGACCTCACCTGCCGCGACGTTGGGCAGACTTTGATGGTTCTTGTGGATGTCTCTATAGCGGATCCATAGCGGGAGGGGAACGTGCAGCTAAGACGGGCGACCCCCACACAGATTGGAGTGGCAGCAGCTAGGCGGGTGCAGGAGAAGCTGCGTCACTGGGGGCCGCACTTAGAGGGGTTGCAGCCGGCACCACACTTTTACGCGTGTGTGGCTGAGACCTTTGGCCTTTTGAGCGAGCCGATACGTCAGTTTATGGGGCTCTGCGCAAAGAGGATAGCACAGCGGAGGAGGGACAGGGGAGGGGTGGATGACGGATCGGCACGGATATTTGAGGCAGGACTCACGACACGCCTCTCCGTGGCATTGCAGCACGCGCAGGCTCAATGCATCATCCAGCATGCGGTGCGGCAGTTGGGGGGATCCGACGACGGGTGGATGCCCGCACCAGTCCCACTGAGTGCGGGGCAGGGTACATGGCACCACGTCACAGGGTGCTTTGAAACTGTTGCTGACATGCAATATATATATGATGCATATGTGTAAAAAAAAAAAAAAACAATAGTGGCTGTGCTTGAAACGCTGTGCCCGCGCTGTCGTGCGGGTTGCTGCCGTGTTTGGTCCCTTGGTGCTTCCTCCTCCTTAGTCTCTTTCCCTCCCTCCTCTTCTCTTCCCACCTCCCTCTTTCTTTTCCCTTCTTCTATCCTTCTCCTCTCTTCCTACCACTCTCTTCTTTTCCCTACAACTTCTTCTTACTCCTTGATCCTTCCTTCTTCTCCTTTCTTTCCCCTCTTTTCTACAAAATATATACACTGTCCTCATAGCGATTTAGTCATGCCGAAATTTCCTATTCTCGGAAAAACCATTATATTCGGCTTGTATTTGCTTTTCCCTTAATAATGAATAACATAGCAGGAAATTCAACAAGCTCAGCTACTAAGGCAGTCGCAGCAGGGGACGAAAATGTAGGGTCAGTCACAAACGTGGCAAGAAAACGAGGGATAGTCGGACTGGCAGCACAAACAAGGTCAGACTCAAGGTCAGGCACGTGAGGAAGAGAAGACACAGGAGGTGACGGCAGGACAATACGCTGTGGAACAGACAAAGGACGGAGTGCCATAAGGTGAGTGCCCGGGACAGCCAGAGCACGAGGACAAGCAATACGACGGGCACAAATAGTTGTGGAAGCACGAGACTCAGGCTCATGATGCTCAATCAGGGACTCAGTCACCTCAGTGTAAGGAGGAGGAGCAGGGAGCAGGGAGGCAGGTAGTAGCTTTGGTGGAGACGGACCAGCCAGAGGAAACAGTACCGAAGGAGTAGTACCAGCGACAGGGAACTCAGTAGCCGCTAGCGGGAGACAGAGAAGGTGGCGAAGCGCAGACTGCCGCGACTGAGCAGTCGCACCCCCAGAACCACCAGTACCTCCAGCTCCAGCACCTCCAGCACCTCCAGTAGTACCTCAAGCACCAGCAGCACCTCCAGAACCTCTAGCATGAGCAGCACCTCCAGAACTAGCAGCTCCAGCACCTCCAGCACTGTACCTCCAACACCTCCAGCACCAGCAGCACCTCCAGCACCTCTAGAACTAGCAACTCCAGCACCTCTAGTACCAGCAGTACCTCCAGCACCTCCAGCACCAGCAGCAACTCCAGAACTAGCAGCTCCAGTACCTCCAGAACCAGCAGTACTTCTAGCACCTCCAGCACCAGCAGCACCTCCAGCACCAACAGCACCTCCAACACCTCCAGAATAAGCAGCTCCATTACCTCCAGTACCAGTAGCTCCAGGCCTGTAAAACTCCAAGCCCTAGCACCAAAGCGGCCTCGACGAACGATCCACTCACAAAGCTGCTGCGACGAGAGCGTCTCAAGTCGACTAGGCGGCTACTGCTGCCCAACGTCAGGACCTCCAGCAGGAGCACCCATGATCCCACCACCACTAGGACTCGCAGCACCCCCAGAGTCAGCACCCCCAGTCTCAGCACCCCCAGAACCCACACCCCCAGTCTCGGCACCTCAAGCACCCTCATCCCTAGTCTCGGCGGCCCCAGTACCCTCACCCCCAATCTCAGCACCCCCAGGACCAGCACCTCCAGAGTCCTCGCCTCCAGTGTCACCACCCTCAACAGCACCAGAGTCGATAGCTACAGGCTGCGGAGGCGGCAAAGACAGTCGAGGCAAAAAACCAGGAGGGGTCTCCAAGCGTGGAGAGCGGCGAGTGGCCGCCATGTCGTCAGGATACTCAGGCCAACGTGCCTATAACCCTTCCCTAGGATCAATCGGGGATCACCAGTGGACCTCTGACACCCCCCCGCGCTGGAATGCACTAGGTGCAACACTGGGATTCGAACTCGAGACCTTTGCTCTGATACCATGTAAGAATCTAGTGAGGAGAATGTCTAGTTAGGTCAAGGGAGGGGTACAAGATGGGTATCGAGAGATGTGTTGTACCTCTAAGGGGTAACTCACTACGGGCTAAACAAGCATATGAAATATAACTTTGACAGATGGGACAAGTACAAGTTGAGTGTGTCAAGAAGCACCCGATCACCTGCTACTAAGTGATCAAGTCGCTGTCGATCGGCATACTGCTTATGGGAATTCTGCATCGTGGTGAGACGTCGCTGAGTCTTCTCCCATAGCTACTGCATGGTGGTGACGAAGTCATGTGCAGCTTGGACATGTGCCGGTGTGGTTGGCTGCTGTGGTGTAGGTGGTTCCCGTCCATAGCACAGGAAAAAAGGAGATTTCCCTGTGGCCGCATGTGACAAAAGTTGTAAGCGAACTCAAGTGTTGGTAACTGTACATCCCAGTGGCTAATGTCGTCCTTGCAAGCTGTGCGCAGTAACTGTTCAACCACCTGATTGAGTCGCTCAGTCTGTCCGTCAGTCTGGGGGTGGTATGCTAAAGACATTGCAAGCTTTGTCCCCAACAAACCCATGAGTTCCGTCTTAGTTAATTTTGGGTTTTTGTCCAAGATGAGTGTAGCAGGGATGCCGTGGATGGTGATGATGCGGTCGAAGAAGAGGCGAACAATTGCTTCAGCTGTAGCCGTGGCATTGGTCGGGATGAAATGTCCCATTTTTTAGAACTTATCAATCATCACGAGTATAGCGTCATGCCCTTGTGAGGTCAAAGGAAGCCCAGTGATAAAGTCTAGGCTGACGACTTGCCATGGCTGCTCCGGTACGGGTAGAGGCTGAAGTAACCCTGCTTTTTTCTGCTTACTACTCTTCATCCGCTGGCACGTGTCGCATGAAGTGACAAACTGCTGCACGTCTGCTGCCATCCGGGGCTAGTAGCAATACTTCGCTATCCCTGCTAACGTCTTCTTACTCCCGACATGTCCTGCGTATGCCACGTCGTGGAACTCCTCCAATAGGAACTGTCGGAGTGCGGCATAGTTCGGTACCCAAATCTTTCCTGAACCCTTCCTTACAGCTAAGTCTTTCTCCCGCTGTAACAGCTTCTGTTTCTTTCCTATAGCGATCTTTGCGTCCACGGAGTACCCATGTTGGAATAGGCCCTTGGGCAGAGGGTTCATCCTGTCGAACTGGATGCCTGCTACATGACCGAGGCGGCTTAGTAAGTCGGCCTTGTTGTGTAGCCCGGGTTTGTAGACGATGTTGTAGTGGAAGTGAGTTTCCAGGAAGTCCACCCACCGCACCTGTTGTCGTGAGAGCGTAGGCTGCGACTTCATATATTTGAGACTGCAGTGGTCAGTATAAACTGTAGTCTTGGCTCCCTCTAGGTAACACCTCCACGCCTTGAATGCTGTGACTATCGCTAATGCTTCCTTGTCATGGATTGGGTAGTTCAGTTCAGCTCCATGTAGCTTCTTACTGTGGTAGGCGATGAGCTGCAAACCGCGTCCATGATCCTGCATTAGTACTGCTCCGACTGCGTGGTCACTAGCGTTTGCTTCCACCACGTAGTCTCTGTCTGGATCCGATAAGATGAGTACTGGTGCTGTTGTCAGTACTGTCTGTAGCTGCTCCATGGCTTGCTGTTGAGGAGTATCCCATTTAGAGGGCGTATCCTTTTTCAGTAAGTTTGTCAGTGGCGCTGCTATCTTAGCGTACAGTGGCACGAACCTGTTGTAGTAGTTGGCGAAGCCTAGGAACTGCTGCAACTCCTTCACGTTCTCCGGTACTTTCCAATTCTTGACGGTTTCGATCTTCTGCGGGTCCACGTGTACGCCCTCGGCACTTATTATTTGCCCGAGAAACTATACCTTCTTCAGGGAGAAGTCGCTCTTCGACTGTTTCACGTATAACTTATTCTCCTGCATGATCTTGAAGACTTTCCGCAGATGCTCCACGTGCTCCTTCATGTTCTTGGAGTACATGAGAATGTCGTCCAGGCACACCACCACGCACTCTCCTAGCAGGGGCTGTAGGATATGATTCATCTCCGCCTGATGTCGCTGGTGCGTTGCAGAGTCCGAACGGCATCACTAAGTACTCGCAGGAGCCGTATCTAGTGCGGAACGCCGTCTTGTGGACTGAGTTGTCTGCCATCTTGATCTGCGAGTAACCCGACCGTAGGTCCAGCTTCGAAAACACCGTTGCACCACGCAGTCGGTCTGAAGATAATCTATGCGCGGTATGGGGTATTTGTTCTTAACTGTCTCTGTTCAATGCCTGGTAGTCGATGCACATCCGTAAACTACCGTACGGCTTTGGATTGAAGATAACTAGTGCACCGTAGGGAGAGGTGGATGGGCAGATCAGTTGTCTATCCAGTAGATACTTTATTTGCTTCTTCATGTCAGTCAATTTGGTCGGACTAAGGCAGTATGGTGCACGTGAGACCGGTTTCGCACCTGGTTCCTCCACGATTTCGTGCTCGTGGGTTCGCGCTGGAGGTACTCCTACAGGCAAGTCGTCTGGCATGATATATTTGTATTGCTCCAACACCTCTTGTACTGCTGCAGGTAGCTCTGCGTTTGGGTTCTCCTCCTCTGCTGCTGCCATACCCAGTACTAAGTAGCCCGTGTTACTCTCGTTCACCGTCCGTTCAAACCGTGCAAGCATTGTTTCAGAAATGTCCCCTGTATCCATCCAGCTTCGCAGCTCCACACGTTTCCCGTTATTTGTTTTTTACTGTCTATTTGTTCAATGCACGGTAGTTAATGAACATCCGTAAACTACCGTCTAGTTTAGGAGTGAAGAGAACCGGTGCACCGTAGGGAGAGGTGGATGGGCATATCAGTTGACTGTCCAGTAGATACTCTATCTGCTTCTTCATGTCTGTCAGTTCAGTCGGACTAAGGTGGTATGGTGCATGTGCGACGGCTTTCGCACCTGGTTCCTCCACGATCTCATGCTCGTGGGTGCGTGCTGGAGGTACTCCTGCAGGTAGGTCGTATGGTATGATGTCTTTGTACTGCTCCAACACCTCCTTCACTGCTGAAGGTAGCTCTGTGTTCGGCTTCTCCTCCTCTGCTGCTGCCATAACCAGTGCTAAGTAACCTACGTTACTTTCGTTCACCGTCCGCTCGAACCGTGCTAGTGTCGTTTCAGGAACGTCCCCTGTATCCGTCTAGCTTCGCAGCTCCACACGTTTCCCGTTGTTGTAGATGCACGCCTCCGGTTGTCCCAATCAGTCTCGGGATTTAACCGCTTCAGAAAATCCCGTCCCAAGATGAAATCTAACCGTTTAATGTTCGTGATCGGCAACATTGGCTTCCATCTCAGCTACGTGAATAATCTCTAAGAGCTTTTTCTTAGCCTCTAAATCTCCCTTGAATTTCTCAAATGCTTGAAAACCACGAGAAGTAGTATTCTTAGTTAAAGTTGATATGAATTCTTACTTTCGTG